AAACACACAGTCACACACATGCAGACAGTCAAACACATGCAGACAGTCGAACACATGCAGACAGTCAAACACATGCAGACAGTCGAACACATGCAGACAGTCAAACACATGCAGACAGTCAAACACATGCAGACAGTCGAACACATGCAGACAGTCGAACACACGCAGACAGTCGAACACACGCAGACAGTCGAACACACGCAGACAGTCGAACACACGCAGACAGTCAAACACACGCAGACAGTCAAACACACGCAGACAGTCAAACACACGCAGACAGTCAAACACACGCAGACAGTCAAACACACGCAGACAGTCGAACACACGCAGACCGGACACAGGAGGCAAGGACACACATCTGCATGGCCCACGTGTTGTGGGGTCTTTTTCCAAAAACACAATGGCTCAGTCAAAAAAACACTTTTCACAGTGATTTATTATTTCCCATTATTATACGGCTCCTCAGAGCAGCAGTAGAATGCTCCATTGATTTGAATGTAATTTCAAAACGTTCTACCGGTCATTATTTTCTATAACGGACCTCTCAAAACAATAATGACCGCTGCCCTTTGGCAACGCACTCTCTGCTTGTCTTTCAAATGCGTGGATAACTCCGCAAGTAGTTCCGGCCACTCCTGAGCTAGCCACGCTCAATCAACACACTTAAATGTTAATCGGAGAATACTTATACATTATATACCGCTGCGCGTCGGGGTCCGCTTCGCCCTGTCGGTACTTATTTTCCGATAATGACCTGTATGCTATACAATATCCCTTACATATTATCCCAGTGCAATACAGTGCAATGTTTACAAGTTGTAGGCGCATGTTTCATCTCAGGTTCTCAGGCGTTGCCTTCTCTGCAACCAAGCATCACCAAACTCGAGCAGGCTCTTAAAGCACAAGCCCCTCCCCTGGGCGTTTGACAAACACAAAATACATTCACTGACTTTAAAGTCCATTTACCCCAAAACAATCCCCACTACACAGTAAAGAATAGAATAATCCCCCTTTACAGTCATAAGAAACAAAAACACAAAATAAGGATCACATGACGCTCCTCAGCACTCATAATGTGTGTGTGCGTCTCTGCCTCTGTTTGGTCAACCCACGGGTCACACGCGCGAACGGTGAGTAGCACGACGGTGAGACCCAGTGTGCACCCGAGATCTCACCAAACACACTCACACTCCCCCCTAGCCGTGGGTAATATGTAAACGCTGCTGTATTACGCGCATAACACGGACGCTCCAGAGAAAAAGAGCGCGCATCGCAGTGCGGTGCTCTCAGTACTAGGACAAGCTGCGTGGCCCCGTCACACCACGTCTGCGTGGCTCACGTCTGCATACGTGTTGTATTCAGATGTGCTAAACCAGGAGATGCACATACCAACATGTATTTAAAACATTATGTTCTCAAAGTCCATTAAAAAGATCATCCATAAACAACATTTCGACAACAGTTTGGTTTGATACATGACTGTGTCTTAAACTTACAGATTTTAAACATTATTTACAAAACATTTCATTTAATATCAATCAAAATACAGTTGCCCAATTTCAACTAAATGATTACACTCACTACAGAGTCTCTCTCTGGTCTCTCCCATGTCTTTCTCTGGTCTCTCTCTCTCTGGTCTCTCTCTCTCTGGTCTCTCCCATGTCTTTCTCTGGTCTCTCTCTCTCTGGTCTCTCTCTCTTTCCGGCCTCTCTCTGGTCTCTCTGTCTCTCTCTGGTCTCTCTCTGGTCTCTCTGTCTCTCTCTCTCTCTCTCTCTCTGGTCTCTCTCTGGTCTCTCTCTGGTCTAAGCAGAAAATTAATGTGTGAATCCAACAGAATCAGGGGGGTCCAGACTTTAGACTCAGGAAAGACCACACAGGGAGCTGTGACGGAGCTGGAGTTGGCTGAATGACAAATGGCCATCTCATCAGATACAGTAATGCTATTAATGGAATTCTGGTTTCCAGGGGTTCTTTCTCTTTGGTCTCTCTCTGGTCTCTCTCTGGTCTCTCTCTCTAGCCTCTCTCTCTGGTCTCTCTCGGGTCTCTCTCTCGGGTCTCTCTCTCTGGTCTCTCTTTGATCTCCCTCTCTCTGGTCTTTCTCTCTGGTCTCTCTCTGGTCTGGTTAGTTGTTTGCAGGCCTCTGGTTGGGAAACTCTGAAGCCTGAGTCTTTAAACCACAGAATTATTGAACCATAAATAAATAATAATTTAATATTTACAATAGTTTTGTGATCCTGGGAGCTATGCTGTCTGGGGCTTCATGCCCCTGGTAGGGCCTCCCATGGCAGACAGGTCTCAGGTGACGAGTCAGACGAAGAGCGGTCCAAAAACCACCATGGACAGCACGATAAATAGACCAGTGACGTCGCCCGGCATGGCGCAGCCGGGGCCCGACCCTGGAGCCAGGCCTGGGGTCGGGGCTCGTATGCGAGCGCCTGGTGGCCGGGCCTTAGCCCACGGGACCCGGCCGGGCTCAGCCCGAAGGGATGACGTGGGCAGTCCCTCCTGTGGGCCCACCACCTGCAGAGGGGTCCGTGGTGGCGCGGTGCTGAGAGGACTGGGCGGCAGTCGAAGGCGGAGACCTCGACGACCCAGTCCGCACACACAACATCTGGCTCTTGGGACGTGGAACGTCACCTCACTGGGGGGGAAGGAGCCCGAGCTCGTGGGGGAGGTTGAGCGATACCGACTAGAGATAGTCGGCCTCACCTCCACACACAGCTTGGGCTCTGGAACCCAACTCCTTGAGAGGGGTTGGACGCTCCATTTTTCTGGAGTTTCCCGCGGGGAGAGGCGGCGAGCTGGGGTGGCCATTCTCATTGCCCCCCATCTCAGCCGCCACGTGTTGGAGTTCTCCCCGGTGAATGAGAGGGTCGCGTCCCTCCGCCTCCGGGTGGGGGACAAGTCTCTCATTGTTGTGACGGCCTACGGGCCTAACAGCAGTGCAGAGTACCCGGCCTTCTTGGAGTCCTTGGGAGGGGTACTGGACGGTGCACCGTCCGGGGACTCCGTTATTCTCCTGGGGGACTTCAACGCCCATGTGGGAAACGCCAGTGACACTTGGAGAGGGGTGATCGGGAAGAGCGGCCCCCCTGATCTGAACCCGAGCGGAGTTCAGTTGTTGGACTTCTGTGCCAGTCACAGTTTGTCCATCACGAACACCATGTTCGAGCACAAGGGTGTCCATCAGTGCACGTGGCACCAGAACACCCTAGGCTGGAGGTCGATGATCGACTTTGTTGTCGTATCATCTGACCTTCGACCGCGTGTCTCGGACACTCGGGTAAAGAGAGGGGCGGAGCTGTCAACCGATCATCACCTGGTCGTGAGTTGGATCCGCTGGCAGGGGAAGAAGCCGGTCAGACCTGGCAGACCCAAGCGTATAGTGAGGGTCTGCTGGGAACGTCTCGCTGAGCCCCCTGTCAGACGGACTTTCAACTCACACCTCCGGGAGAGCTTCTCACAGGTCCCGGCGGAGGAGGGGGACATGGAGTCCGAGTGGACCATGTTCTCTGCCTCAATCGCCGATGCGGCGGCTCGTAGCTGTGGTCGCAAGGTCTCTGGTGCTGGTCCCGGCGGCAACCCCCGAACCCGGTGGTGGACACCGGCAGTAAGGGATGATGTCAGGCTGAAGAAGGAGTCCTATCGAGCCATGATGGTTTGGGGGACTCCTGAGGCAGCTGTCCAGTACCGGCAGGCCAAGCGTGCCGCGGCCCGGGCTGTTGCAGAGGCAAAAACCCGGGACTGGGAGGAGTTCGGAGAGTCCATGGAGCATGACTATCAGTCGGCCTCGAAGAGATTCTGGCAAACCATCCGGCGCCTCAGGAGGGGGAAGCAGTTCTTTGCCAACACCATGTACGGTGCGGGTGGAGAGCTGCTGACCTCGACTGGGGATATTGTCGGGCGGTGGAAGGAATACTTTGAGGTTCTCCTCAATCCCCCCGTCACGTCCTCTGTTACAGAGGCAGAGGCTGAGGATGTTGGGGCAGATACATCCATCTCCCTGGCTGAGGTCACCAAGGTGGTTGGCAGCCTCCATGGTGGTAGGGCTCCGGGTGTGGATGAGATCTGCCCTGATTATCTAAAGTCTCTGGATGTTGTAGGACTGTCTTGGCTGACACGTCTCTGCAACATCGCGTGGCGATCGGGGGCGGTGCCAATGGAGTGTCAGACCGGGGTGGTGGTCCCTCTCTACAAGAAGGGGGACCGGAGGGTGTGTTCCAATTATCGTGGGATCACACTCCTCAGCCTCCCCGGTAAGGTCTGCTCCAAGGTACTGGAGAGGAGGCTACGGTCGATGGTCGAATCTCGGATTCAGGAGGAGCAGTGTGGTTTTCGTCCCGGTCGCGGAACACTGGACCAGCTCTATACTCTCCATCGGATACTCGAGGGTTCATGGGAGTTCGCCCAACCTGTCCACATGTGCTTTGTGGATTTGGAGAAGGCGTTCGACTGTGTTCCCCGGGGTGTCCTTTGGGGGGTTCTCCGGGAGTACGGGGTCGGAGGTCCTCTGCTGAGGGCCATCCGATCCCTGTATGACCGGAGCCAGAGCTGTGTTCGCATTGCCGGCAGTAAGTCAGACCTGTTCCCGGTGCATGTTGGCCTCCGACAGGGCTGCCCTTTGTCACCGGTTCTGTTCACTGTATTTATGGACAGAATTTCTAGGCGCAGCCAAGGGGTTGGAGGGGGTCCGGTTCGGAGACCACAGGACTTCATCTCTGCTGTTTGCGGACAATGTTGTCCTGTTGGCTCCAACGAACCAGGACCTGCAACATGCGCTGGGGCGGTTTGCAGCCGAGTGTGAAGCGGCTGGGATGAGAATCAGCACCTCCAAATCTGAGGCCATGGTGCTCGACCGGAAAAAGGTGCCGTGCTCTCTCTAGGTCGGTGGAGAGGTCCTTCCTCAAGTGGAGGAGTTCAAGTATCTCGGGGTCTTGTTCACGAGTGAGGGAAGAATGGAGCGTGAGATTGACAGGCGGATCGGTGCAGCGTGCGCAGTGATGCGGTCGCTGTATCGGACCGTTGTGGTGAAGAGGGAGCAGCGTCTGCAGTCAGAGCTGTATCGGACCGTTGTGGTAAAGAGGGAGCTGAGCCAAAAGGCAAAGCTCTCGATTTACCGGTCAATCTTCGTTCCCTCCCTCACCTATGGTCATGAGCTTTGGGTAATGACCGAAAGAACGAGATCGCGGATACAAGCGGTCGAAATGAGCTTCCTCCGCAGAGTGGCTGCTCCCTTAGAGATAGGGTGAGGAGCTCAGTCACACGGGAGGAGCTCGGAGTAGAGCCGCTGCTTCTCCACGTCGAGAGGAACCAGTTGAGGTGGCTCGGGCATCTGTTCAGGATGCCTCCTGGACGCCTCCCTGGGGAGGTGTTCTGGGCACGTCCCATCGGGAGGAGGCCCCGGGGAAGACCCAGGACACGCTGGAGAGACTATGTCTCTCAGCTGGCCTGGGAACGCCTTGGGGTCCCCCCGGACGAGCTGGAGGAAGTGTGTGTTGATAGGGAAGTCTGGGCGTCTCTGCTTAGACTGCTGCCCCCGCGACCCGGCAACGGATGAAGCAGAAGAAAATGGATGGGTGGATGGCTGGACAATAGTTTTGTGTCGTCGTTACAGATTAACAGAGTCCAGTGCTGCCTTCACGGCTCAGTGTAAAATCGGAAAAAGCGCTTCTCACTGTTAGTTTTATTCCTTCTTTGGGACAGGAGGGGGCGCTGCTGCACAGCTTCAGTCCGTGTTCCACAGACACAACCTTCAGCCTCAGTCAGTGTTCCACAGACACAACCTTCAGCCTCAGTCAGTGTTCCACAGACACAACCTTCAGCTTCAGTCCGTGTTCCACAGACACAACCTTCAGCTTCAGTCCGTGTTCCACAGACACAACCTTCAGTCTGTGTTCCACAGACACAACCTTCAGCCTCAGTCAGTGTTCCACAGACACAACCTTCAGCCTCAGTCCGTGTTCCAACAGACACAACCTTCAGCCTCAGTCCGTGTTCCACAGACACAACCTACAGCCTCAGTCCGTGTTTCAACAGACACAACCTTCAGCCTCAGTCCGTGTTCCACAGACACAACCTTCAGCCTCAGTCAGTGTTCCACAGACACAACCTTCAGCCTCAGTCCGTGTTCCACAGACACAACCTTCAGCCTCAGTCCGTGTTCCACAGACACAACCTTCAGTCCGTGTTCCACAGACACAACCTTCAGCCTCAGTCAGTGTTCCACAGACACAACCTTCAGCTTCAGTCCATGTTCCACAGACACAACCTTCAGTCTGTGTTCCACAGACACAACCTTCAGCCTCAGTCCGTGTTCCACAGACACAACCTTCAGTCCGTGTTCCACAGACACAACCTTCAGTCCGTGTTCCACAGACACAACCTTCAGCCTCAGTCCGTGTTCCACAGACACAACCTTCAGCCTCAGTCAGTGTTCCACAGACACAACCTTTAGCCTCAGTCCGTGTTCCACAGACGCAGAAACAGTCGATCTGAGGCTTTTGTTTTGGACAAGGAACGACTCAATGACCTTTGACCTTTGAAATGTGACGAGTTCTACCTTTATCCCCTAATTCAAATGCTAGTTACCGTAGCAACACACTGTTTACTGTTACCGTAGCAACAGTCAGAGGTTAGCATCAGCCTTTTCTCGCTGTATTTCAGTTATTAAGTTATTAAAGCAAAATCCTTCTAAATTACTTTTCTTTTAATGAATCTGGTGACAATGAACATTTTCCTCATTTAGGTTTAACTCCAGGATCAATCTGAAACTACGAGAAGTCATTTTGACTGCTCCTGTTCAAATTCAACAGTTTTAGGTTTTTATTTGTAGTAATTAGTTGTAAGTAATTCTGCTTTATCTTTAACACTTGCTCAAACTTAACATACATGAAATGCTAAGCTAAATGCTAACTGCTGTAAGTAAACAGTGTGTTGCTATGGTAACTGAATTCCCACATTAAGAGTCTTCCTGCTCCATGGGTTGTTCCTCTTATGGCTCCAAGTGTTTGTTATTATTGCATGTCCTGTGTTCGACCTGTTTGATTCTCTGATCTGCTGTTGGCAAATCCACAACTTTGGAAAGTCCTCTGAGAAGAAAAATAGTATAAAAATGTAGAAGCTGTGGACTCCTGGTCTCCCACAGCAACTCCCCAGCAACCAACGAGCCAATCAGAAGCACCGCTGATCAGTAATCAGGAAACAGATGTGGATTTTAAAATAAATGAATAAAATAAAATCACCAGGATCAAACTCCATAAAACTTTATCACAGTGAGAAGTAAGAAAACAACAGAACCATAAGTGACAATTCACACGTGAGGAACAGTCTGAGGCTCGGCTCACAAGGTTCTTCTGATCAGACCACGCCCCCTGCGACTGACCACGCCCCCCTGTGGTGTCTCTGGAGAGGTCCCAAGTGTGAGCCAGATTGATGGCCCTTCGTCTCTGTTGATGGTCTGTGCTCCTGCTTCCTGGTTTAAACAGCCTCTCGGTTCCATGGTTTCGCGTCATTCTTCCTTGTCCCAGTCCATTCTGTGACGCTCTTTGTCTGACCAGAAGAACCCCGCAACGCTGGAGCAGTGTGAGTGAAAACAACTACACAAAGAATCACAAATATCCGTCTTTTTGGACTCAGTTTTTTTCTGCAGCTGTGCCTGAAGTCTTTCCAGTGTTTGTGTGAAGCCGTTTATCGTCAACATGGTTTTATTTTCAAATCATGACGTCAGAAACTCTCAAAAGTCTCCATCCCTGACTCTACCCAACTCTACCCTACTCTACCCTACCCTACCCTACTCTACCCTACTCTACCCTACTCTACCCTACTCTACCCTACACTACCCTACTCTACCCTACTCTACCCAACTCTACCCTACTCTACCCTACTCTACCCTACACTACCCTACTCTACCCTACTCTACCCTACCCTACCCTACTCTACCCTACCCTACTCTACCCTACTCTACCCTACTCTACCCTACCCTACCCTACTCTACCCTACTCTACCCTACTCTACCCTACACTACCCTACTCTACCCTACTCTACCCTACTCTACCCTACTCTACCCTACCCTACCCTACTCTACCCTACTCTACCCTACTCTACCCTACACTACCCTACTCTACCCTACTCTACCCAACTCTACCCTACTCTACCCTACTCTACTCTACCATTAAAAAAAAAGGACCAGGTCCTTTTTTGTCAATTGTTTTGTTCTATCCAGGCCTTGCTGGTACTAAAATGTTCGGATACTGGTTTGTTGTGGGGAGGTTGCTTGGCCTATGGTCTCTCTCCGGTCTCTCTCCGGTCTCTCTCCGGTCTCTCTCTGGTCTCTCTCCGGTCTCTCTCCGGTCTCTCTCTGGTCTCCCTCTAATCTCTCATAAATAAGTAAATACTTTTATTAGTTCAAAAGCAGGTTATTTGACGATGGCTTCACACAAAAACTGCAGTCAGTGGTTCATGGCAACCAACTGTCTCCTGTCCTCTCCTGGTCCTCACACCTCGGTCCTCTCCTGTCCTCTCCTGGTCCTCACACCTCGGTCCTCTCCTGTCCTCTCCTGGTCCTCACACCTCGGTCCTCTCCTGTCCTCTCCTGGTCCTCACACCTCGGTCCTCTCCTGGTCCTCACACCTCGGTGCTCACAGATCATGTGTTGGTGTAAGTCTCTGACGGTCGACTCCAGGGGGCGCTCCGGTGCACATCTCTCTCTCACTGGTCTCAATCTAATCTCTCTCTATGGTCTCTCTCATCCCTCACTGGTCTCTCTCTGGTCTCGCTCTCTGGTCTCGCTCTCTGGTCTCGCTCTCTGGTCTCTCTGGTCTCTCTTTCTGGTCTCTCTCTGGTCTCTCTCTGGTCTCTCTCTGGTCTCTCTCTGGTCTCTCTCTGGTCTCTCTCTGTGGTCTGGTAAATATCACAGTTCTGAAGCCTCATGAGTCTTCCGTCATCTCCTGGTTTTCACACCTCAGTCCTCTCCTGGTCCTCACACCTTGGTCCTCTCCTGGTCCTCACACCTCGGTGCTTTCCTGGTCCTCACACCTCGGTCCTCTCCTGGTCCTCACACCTCGGTGCTTTCCTGGTCCTCACACCTCGGTCCTCTCCTGGTCCTCACACCTCGGTGCTTTCCTGGTCCTCACACATCGGTGCTCTCCTGGTCCTCACACCTCGGTGCTCTCCTGGTCCTCACACATCGGTGCTCTCCTGGTCCTCACACCTCGGTGCTCTCCTGGTCCTCACACCTCTGTGCTCTCCTGGTCCTCACACCTCAGTGCTCTCCTGGTCCTCATACCTCGGTGCTCACAGCTCTCGTGTTGGTGTAGATTTCCGGCGGTCGACTCCAGGGGGCGCTCCGGAGCACACTGCCCTGGCCGTGGGGGAGGGGCGGGGCCAGGGCTGGGTTCTCGAAGTGTGTGGGCATGTAGGTGACACGTTCGCCGCCATTGCGTGCGCCGTTGTCGCTGGTGCGGATGTAGAAGGGGGAGCGGCGTGGGGAGCAGCTAGGGCAGTACCGCGGCCCGCCTGTAGAGGGCGCCGCGGGGGGTGAGCACACAGAGTCACAGGCCAAGTGCTGCTGAGACAGAGAGCCGCTGTCCGAGCCATTGGACTTACAGCAGTAGTACTGCAACACAAGACACGAGACATTGATAGGAAATATGGAGTAAGAGATGACCAGAATGAGCAACACCTCCATCTAGTGCTGGGGGTCTCACTAAAGGTTTGGACACACTTATAATTCTCTCTCTGGTCTCTCTCTGGTCTCTCTCTGGTCTCTCTCTGGTCTCTCTCTGGTCTCTCTCTGGTCTCTCTCTGGTCTCTCCGGTCTCTCTCTGGTCTCTCTCTGGTCTCTCTCTCCGGTCTCTCTCTGGTCTCTCTCTGGTCTCTCTCCGGTCTCTCTCTGGTCTCTCTCTGGTCTCTCTCCGGTCTCTCTCTGGTCTCTCTCTGGTCTCTCTCTGGTCTCTCTCTGGTCTCTCTCCGGTCTCTCTCTGGTCTCTCTCTGGCGTTGGACCTGCAGTCGACAGTGTGGTGTCGTACTTGTCGTCAGTGGTTTGTACCTATAGTCAGTGTGTCGTACCTGTAGTCAGTGGTTCGTACCTGTAGTCAGTGGTTCGTACCTGTAGTCAGTGTCGTACCTGTAGTCAGTGGTTCGTACCTGTAGTCAGTGTCGTACCTGTAGTCAGTGTCGTACCTGCAGTCAGTGGTTCGTACCTGTAGTCAGTGGTTCGTACCTGTAGTCAGTGGTTCGTACCTGTAGTCAGTGGTTCGTACCTGTAGTCAGTGGTTCGTACCTGTAGTCAGTGGTTCGTACCTGTAGTCAGTGTCGTACCTGTAGTCAGTGTCGTACCTGTAGTCAGTGGTTCGTACTTGTCGTCAGTGGTTCGTACCTGTAGTCAGTGGTTTGTACCTGTAGTCAGTGGTTCGTACCTGTAGTCAGTGGTTCGTACCTGTTGTCAGTGGTTCGTACCTGTAGTCAGTGGTTCGTACCTGTAGTCAGTGTGTCGTACCTGTAGTCAGTGGTTTGTACCTGTAGTCAGTGTGTCGTACCTGTAGTCAGTGGTTCGTACCTGTTGTCAGTGGTTCGTACCTGTCGTCAGTGTGTCGTACCTGTAGTCAGTGTCGTACCTGTAGTCAGTGTCGTACCTGTAGTCAGTGTCGTACCTGTAGTCAGTGGTTCGTACCTGTAGTCAGTGTCGTACCTGTAGTCAGTGGTTCGTACTTGTAGTCAGTGGTTCGTACCTGTAGTCAGTGGTTCGTACCTGTAGTCAGTGTGTCGTACCTGTAGTCAGTGTGTCGTACCTGTAGTCAGTGTGTCGTACCTGTAGTCAGTGGTTCGTACCTGTAGTCAGTGTGTCGTACCTGTAGTCAGTGTGTCGTACCTGTAGTCAGTGTGTCGTACCTGTAGTCAGTGGTTCGTACCTGTAGTCAGTGGTTTGTACCTGTAGTCAGTGGTTTGTACCTGTAGTCAGTGTGTCGTACCTGTAGTCAGTGTCGTACCTGTAGTCAGTGGTTCGTACCTGTAGTCAGTGTCGTACCTGTAGTCAGTGGTTCGTACCTGTAGTCAGTGGTTCGTACCTGTAGTCAGTGGTTCGTACCTGTAGTCAGTGGTTCGTACCTGTAGTCAGTGTCGTACCTGTAGTCAGTGGTTCGTACCTGTAGTCTGCAGTAGCAGAGCACAGCGATGATAAACAGCAGAATCACTGTGGCCAGAATTCCTCCAGTGATGACGACTGTTCCTGCTGTCATCAGATCCCATCAAACTCTACGCACGCACACACACACACACACACACACACACACACACACACACACACGCGCACACGCACACGCACACGCACACGCACACAGTTGATGACTGTTTTATCTAGAGGAGCCTAAAAGCTTCAGTCCTGCCGAGAACCAGGAAGTACCATCACATTAGTCCTGCCGAGAACCAGGAAGTACCATCACATTAGTCCTGCCGAGAACCAGGAAGTACCATCACATTAGTCCTGCCGAGAACCAGGAAGTACCATCACATTAGTCCTGCCGAGAACCAGGAAGTACCATCACATTAGTCCTGCCGAGAACCAGGAAGTACCATCACATTAGTCCTGCCTAGAACCAGGAAGTACCATCACATTAGTCCTGCCTAGAACCAGGAAGTACCATCACATTAGTCCTGACTAGAACCAGGAAGTACCATCACATTAGTCCTGTCGAGAACCAGGAAGTACCATCACATTAGACCTGACTAGAACCAGAGACCTGGTCTCAGGTCTCTGTGTGTTACAAGTCTCCACATGGCCTCGTACCAAAGGCGTCGGACTGGGGGAGTAAAGGGTAACCAGTACCCAGGGCCCAGGGAGGGGAGGGGCCCTCTAAAGTGTCTATATATGAATACTGTATACTGTATGTATACTGTATGTATACTGTATGTATACTGTATGTATACTGTATGTATTGTATTCATTAACGTAGTGGGGGCCCATCGACTGTGTTTGTACCAGGGGCCTAGAATTTGGTGCTACGCCCCTGTACATAAGTGAAATGTTAGAGCCTTATGAGCACAGGGACTGGTCTCCTGCTGGGACTGAGGAGCACAGGGACTGGCCTCCTGCTGGGACTTTGAGGAGCACAGGGACTGGCCTCCTGCTGGGACTTTGAGGAGCACAGGGACTGGCCTCGTGCTGGGACTTTGAGGAGCACAGGGACTGGCCTCCTGCTGGGACTTTGAGGAGCACAGGGACTGGCCTCCTGCTGGGACTCTGAGAAGCACAGGGACTGGTCTCCTGCTGGGACTGAGAAGCACAGGGACTGGCCTCCTGCTGGGACTCTGAGAAGCACAGGGACTGGTCTCCTGCTGGGACTCTGAGAAGCACAGGGACTGGCCTCCTGCTGGGACTCTGAGGAGCACAGGGACTGGTCTCCTGCTGGGACTGAGGAGCACAGGGACTGGCCTCCTGCTGGGACTCTGAGAAGCACAGGGACTGGTCTCCTGCTGGGACTCTGAGGAGCACAGGGACTGGCCTCCTGCTGGGACTGAGAAGCACAGGGACTGGCCTCCTGCTGGGACTTTGAGAAGCACAGGGACTGGCCTCCTGCTGGGACTTTGAGAAGCACAGGGACTGGCCTCCTGCTGGGACTCTGAGGAGCACAGGGACTGGCCTCCTGCTGGGACTCTGAGGGGCACAGGGACTGGCCTCCTGCTGGGACTCTGAGGGGCACAGGGACTGGCCTCCTGCTGGGACTCTGAGGAGCACAGGGACTGGTCTTGTGAGGAGTGATCTCTACACTGAGGATCTCCAGCCCGCAGATCAGGAAGAACCAGTTTCTCTCCGTCCCCTTTCAGGGAACACAAAGGATTTAGAATTTACCACTTAATCTTGGATGAATACATTTGAGTCCTCTTATCCACGTCTGTCATACGTCTGGGGGTTGGGTTTTACAGTGTTCTGGACATTGTACATGTGTTCTCCATGTTTTGGCATAATTATTAGGCAAGGCAAGGCAAGGCAAGTTTATTTGTATAGCACAATTCATACACAAGGCAATTCAAAGTGCTGGACAAAACAAGAAAGCATTAAAATCATAAATAATCACAGAACATTAAAAAGAAAGATAAAAATATAAAATCCCTCAGTTGTAGCACAGCTAAACAGAACTGTCTTTAACCTGGTTTTAAACATTGTCAGAGAGGAGGCCTGTCTCACATCTTCAAGAAGACTGTTCCAGATTTTAGCAGCATGAATCTGAAAAGCAGCCTTACAGAGATGTGTTCATTGGTTTCTTTAATGGAGGTGGAGGGTGGTCTGAGTGTGAGTGAGAGTGTGCACTCTCGCCTCTCAGCAAGAAGGTCCTGGGTTCGAATCCCGGTCGGACCAGGGCCTTTCTGAGTGGAGTTTGCATGTTCTCCCCGTGTCTGCGTAGGTTTCCCCTACCACTAAAAATATGTCCAATAGTTCTGGCATGCGCCTCCTGTACTGGCGACCCTGCTCCCATCTCTGTGTGGAGTGAGAGACAATTGCCCAAAAAATTAACAATTGTAAACCGCTTTGAGACTCAGATCTGCAGTGAAAAGGCGGTATATAAATAAAGATTACTTACTTACTAATATTGTCATGTTTATTCATTTACTTTCTTCATTTTTTTGTCTTTGTCTAATTTCTTGTTATTCCGCTCTGCTGTCTACCTTATTTTTTGTGAATTTGAACTGAGGACCCCCTTGAAAACAAGAAGGTTCATTTCAAGGGGCTATTCCTCTTATTGATAATAGTAAAGAAACTGTGAATAAATAAGACACTATTTGCCTCTTAAAAGTCACTAAAAGTCAGTCTATGATTGAAAAAAGGTTGGAAACCGCGACATCAAGACAGTATTTCACCAACCACTGCTTTAAACGTCTTGAAAAACTAGTCCTGGTGGAAAACATCTAAAAAACAAGTAATAATAATAATAATAAATAGAATGAGTTTAGTTCTTCTGGCTGTTGACTGGTTTGTGAAGTGCCTCAAATATCTGTCTGTTTTCTTTAAGGAAAGTTGTGTTCTGCAGCAAGTCATGTCTCCGGTCCTCCTGCAGCGACAAGGGACAGAGGTCAGCAGCAGGAGGAGAGAGGGGGAGGGAGGGGGAGAGAGGGGGAGAGAGGGGGAGAGAGGGGGAGAGAGGGGGAGAGAGGGGGAGAGAGGGGAGGGAGGGGGAGAGAGGGGGAGAGAGGAGGGGAGAGGAGGAGAGAGGAGGGGAGAGGAGGGGAGAGGAGGAGAGAGGAGGAGAGAGGAGGGGAGAGGAGGAGAGAGGAGGGGAGAGGAGGGGAGAGGAGGAGAGAGGAGGAGAGAGGAGGAGAGGGCAGGGGAGAGGAGGGGAGGGCAGGGGAGAGGAGGAGAGAGGAGGGGAGAGGAGGAGAGTGGAGGAGAGAGGAGGAGAGAGGAGGGGAGAGGAGGAGAGAGAGGAGGAGAGAGGAGGAGAGAGGAGGAGAGGGCAGGGGAGAGGAGGGGAGGGCAGGGGAGAGGAGGAGAGTGGAGGAGAGAGGAGGGGGGAGGGGAGGGGAGAGGAGGAGAGAGGAGGAGAGAGGAGGAGAGAGGAGGAGGAGAGAGGAGGAGAGAGGAGGAGAGTGGAGGAGAGAGGAGGGGGGAGGAGGGGAGAGGAGGAGAGAGGAGGGAGAGAGGAGGAGAGAGGAGGGGGGAGGAGGGGAGAGAGCAGGGGAGAGAGGAGGGGCAAGGAGGAGAGAGTAGGAGAGAGAGGAGGAGAGAGCAGGGGAAAGAGGAGGAGAGAGGAGGGGAGAGCAGGGGAGAGAGGAGGAGAGAGCAGGGGAAAGAGGAGGAGAGAGGAGGGGAGAGCAGGGGAGAGAGGAGGAGAGAGCAGGGGAAAGAGGAGGAGAGAGGAAGAGAGAGCAGGGGAAAGAGGAGGGGCAAGGAGGAGAGAGTAGGGGAGAGAGAAGGGGAGCAGGGGAGCAGAGGGGAGAGCAGGGAGAGGAGGAGAGAGGAGGGGAGAGGAGGACGAGAGAGCAGGGGAGAGAAGAGAGAGAGAGCAGGGGAGAGAGGAGGAGAGAGCAGGGGAGAGAGGAGGGGAGAGCAGGGGAGAGGAGGAGAGAGCAGGGGAGAGAGGAGGGGAGAGCAGAGAAGAGGATGAGAGAGGAGGAGAGAGGAGGAGAGAGCAGGGGAGAGGAGGAGAGAGCAGGGAAGAGGATGAGAGAGGAGGAGAGAGGAGGAGAGAGCAGGGGAGAGGAGGAGAGAGCAGGGGAGAGAGGAGGGGAGAGCAGGGGAGAGGAGGAGAGAGCAGGGGAGAGAGGAGGGGAGAGCAGGGGAGAGGAGGAGAGAGGAGGAGAGGGCAGGGGAGAGGGGGAGAGAGCAGGGGAGAGAGGGGGGGAGAGAGCAGGGGGAGAGAGGAGGGGAGAGGAGGAGAGGGCAGGGGAGAGGGGGAGAGAGCAGGGGAGAGAGGAGGGGAGAGGGGGAGAGGGCAGGGGAGAGGGGGAGAGAGCAGGGGAGAGAGGAGGGGAGAGCAGGGGAGAGGAGGAGAGAGCAGGGGAGAGAGGAGGGGAGAGGAGGAGAGAGGAGGAGAGAGGAGGAGAGGGCAGGGGAGAGGGGGAGAGAGCAGGGGAGAGAGCAGGGGAGAGGAAGAGAGAGCAGGGGAGAGAGGGGGAGAGAGCAGGGGAGAGAGGAGGGGAGAGGGGGAGAGAGCAGGGGAGAGAGGGGGAGAGAGCAGGGGTAAAGCCCGCCTCCAGAAGGTGATTGACCGCAGAGTGAAGCTGAAACAGAAAGAGTGCAGTTGTGTTTGTATCATTTCAGTTTGGATGAAAACGTGTCGACGATGTTTGGCCCAAAGACAAAGAATGAGGCTTGACTTTATTTATTTTAATCTGAGCTCAGGATGGACTATGGAATATGTTACCTTTATTTTGTATTGTGGTCTCTCTCTCTCTCCCTGGTCTTTCTCTCTCTCTCTCTGGTTTCTCTCTCTAGCTGGTCTCTCTCTGGCCTCTGGTCTCTCTCTCTCTCTGGTCTCTCTCTCAGGTCTCTCTCTCTCTGGTCTCTCTCTCTCTGGCATTTCTCTCGCTCTGGCATCTCTCAGGTCTCTCTCTCTCTCTAGTCTCTCTCTCTCTCTGGCCTCTCTCTGGTCTCTCTTTGTTCTCTCTCTCAGGTCTCTCTCTGGTCTCTCTCTCTCTGGTCTCTCTCTCTCTCTCTCTCTCTGGTCTCTCTCTCAGGTCTCTCTCTCTCTCTGGCCTCTCTCTGGTCTCTCTCGCTGGTCTCTCTCACTGGTCACTCTCTCTCTCTCTGGTCTCTCTCTTGTCCCTTTCTCTCTGGTGTCTCTGTGGTCTCTCTCTCTCTCTCTCTCTCTCTCAGGCCTCTCTCTTGTCTCTCTCTCTCTCTCTCCTCGGTCTCTCTCTGGTCTCTCTGGTCTTTCTCTGGTCTCTCTCTTGTTCCTCTGCATGTGGTGTGCATGTAAAGCATGTAACTTTTTCTATGAGAGACAACAAAGAAGAATATTATTGTATTATCGTACCATAAATGTTAAAACACGTCCTTAAATGTCAAACCAAAACAAACAAAAAACAGTGATCCTGATTGTAAAATGATTGTTGTACCAGATCAAAAACATAGAAAAAGAATAAGTCCTTATTCAAAGCGAGCCCTTCAGCACCACGGACAGCTCCAGAGACACAGCTGCTGTTTGATTACACCTCTTTTCTTCATTGTGTGCGTCACCGTCTGAGGCTTTGTGCTGATTGGCTGAGTGAGGGTGGTCCTCTCTTTTATCACATTTCAGTCTGATTAAAAGTGAAACGGGCAAAAAGCGACTAAATATAAACACGTACATTTCGCCTAATTTGATGTCGAGTTTGTATATTTACTGAGAAGCATCCGTTTTCAAACTTTAGATTAGTATTATTGATGTTCAGTTAGTGGTGGAGAAAGGTCAACATGTTAATGCTCATTGTAAAGCTGCTTTCTGTGGCCCTCTCTCTGGTCTCTCTCTGGTCTCTCTCTGGTCTCTCTCTGGTCTCTCTCTGGTCTCTCTCTGGTCTCTCTCTGGTCTCGCTCTGGTCTCTCTCTGGTCTCGCTCTGGTCTCGCTCTGGTCTCTCTGTGTGGTCTCTCTCTGTGGTCTCTCTCTGGTCTCTCTCGGGTTTATTTCTGGTCTCTCTCTGGTCTCTCTCGGGTTTCTCTCTGGTCTCTTTCTGGTCTCTCTGGTCCCTCTCTCTGACGTGAAGTGAAACTAGAAGCTGTTTTAAGAGCGAGGGAAGATTTATATATATGTGAATTCAGTTTCATTGGAGCAGATGAAAATGTTGAAAAGGACGATGGTTGTAGGAAGACCATGGTCATGTTCAGCTCTGGTCCATAGGAAGGTTCTAGGACATTAAAGTAGTCACGGGAAGTTGTTATGGTTGGTTGGACTGAGATTTTTCTGGGACAGTGTACAATAAACATGAGTCAAACTGTGAGTTACAATAATGATAATGATTACATTTTAATACTAAGTTGGTTTCATAAGCTTTTTTTGACGCCCTCTCTGGATTCTCTCTCTCTGGTCTCTCTCTCTCTGGTCCCTCTCTCTCTCTCTCTCTCTGGTCCCTCTCTCTAGTCTCTATCTGGTCTCTCTCTCTCTCTGGTCCCTCTCCGGTCTCTCTCTCTGGTCTCTCTCTCTCTCTCTCTCTCTCTGGTGTCTCTCTCTCTGGCCCCTCTCTCTAGTCTCTATCTGGTCTCTCTCTCTCTGGTCTCACTAAGATCTCTCTCTGGTCTCTCTCTCTCTCTCTGTGGTCTCTCTCTCTCTGGTTTCTCTCTCCCCCTCGCATCTCTCTGTTGTCTCTCACTCTCTCTTTCTGGTCCCTCTGTGGTCTCTCTCTGGTCTCTCTCTCACTCTCTCTTTCTGGTCCCTCTGTGGTCTCTCTCTGGTCTCTCTCTCTCTCTCTCTTTCTGGTCTCTCTGTTCTCTCTCTCTCTCTCTCTCTCTCCCTCTGGTCCCTGCTACCGGATTACTTGTTTTTCTCTGTTCTTACACAGGGTACTTCTGTCCATATATTTCAATGTGATTTTTACCACAAATGACAAACTGAATCCGTCACAAAAACACATTTCTTTTCACAGCCATTTCCTTGTTCTCTTTCTCCGACTCTCATTTGGCTCCTCTCACTCACACTCAAAGCTCGTTATGGTCGGGTCAGCGTAATTGCAGAATGAGAGCGCGTTCCACTTCTTTGTCAGCTAAAAGAAACCCAAATCTGTTGGTTTTTCCGCACGAGGCCCGGTCCCTTTGATGCCTTTGTGTCCGCGGCCCACGTGCTCGCCGTTATTCCCGCCAGCGAGCGCTATTCCCGTCCACGTATGGCTAATTGAAATGTTGCACCAAAAACAATAAACGTCGGGCGCCAGGAGAGAATCCAATTTACTCCAACTTGATGAGCGCGCGCTTTTTTCGCGATGGAATTATTCCCGGCGCTCGGAAGGTTTCCACTCCATTTCAAACACGCTCGTTTCTCTCTGCGGCGTCTGCGGCGTTGGGGACGTTTAACGGTGGGATTGTAAAAAGAGACGAGTGGCCAAAAGAGAAGCTGCTTATTCTGCCTCCTGTGCTTTACAGCTGTGTTTGGAAGTTTAGTTTCATTTCACACTTACAGGATCTTGTGTCTGTCTCTTTGGTCTCTCTCTGGTCTCTCTCTCTGGTCTCTCCCTGATCTCTCTCTGGTCTCTCCCTGATCTCTCTCTGGTCTCTCTCTGGTCTCTCTCTGGTCTCTCTCTGGTCTCTGCACAGCTGTGGATGGTTCAGATGACTCTCTCTCACACTGGTCTCTCCCTGATCTCTCTCTGGTCCCTCTCTTGTCTTTCTTTGGTCTCTCTCTCTCTTTCGTCCCTATACTGTATCTAGTCTTCTCTCTGGTCTTCTCTCTTGTCCCTCTCTCTAGTCTCACTCCGGTCTTTGTGGTGTCTCTCTGGTTTCTATCTGCTCTCTCTCTTGTCCCTCTCTCTGGTCACTCTCTGCTCTCTCTCTAGTCTAACTCTGGTCTCTCTCTGGTTTCTATCTGCTCTATTTTACTTGTTCCTCTCTCTGGTCTCACTCTGCTCTCTCTCTCTTCTCCCTCTTTAGTCCCTGTCTGGTCTCTCTCTCTCTGGTCTCTCTCTTGTCTCTCTCTGCTCTCTCTCTAGTCTCACTCTGGTCTCTCTCTGGTGTCTCTTTTGTCCCTCTCTTTCATCACTCTCTGCTCTCTCTCTAGTCTCTCTCTGCTCTCTCTCTAGTCTCACTCTGCTCTCTCTCTAGTCTCTCTCTGCTCTCTCTCTAGTCTCTCTCTGCTCTCTCTCTAGTCTCACTCTGGTCTCTCTCTGGTGTCCCTTTTGTCCCTCTCCTTCATCACTCTCTGCTCTCCCTCTAGTCTCACTCTGGTCTCTCCCTGGTCTCTCTCTTCCTGGTCCGCTGTAACACCAAAGTAAACAAGAAAACCATCCCATTGCTCCCAGTTCGGTCCAAGTCCAAGCAGCAAAAACCAGTCTGACTCTTTCCTTTCCAGTCCCTGCTACCACAGAATATCACACACTATAAAAACTCTTGCCGTTTGCCGCATCGTCGCAGCTGAATCGGTTTAAGGAGAGAAAATGTATTTACCGCAAAGAAGAGAGCGCTGTGAGGGGAATAAAAACAATTCCAGCAGAAGTATTGTTTGTGTCACTGTCGCAGCAAAGAAACTATACTTTTTTGAAAACAGGCAAAAAGCGACTAAATATAAACACATTCATTTCGCCCAATTTGATGTCAAGTTTGTATCTTTATTTTCACTTCAGATCAAACACACGCCTTTATGTACAGCCCGGGTTTTTCTGAGGAGAGAGAGAGGTTTGAGGAGCGACTTTGTAAAACCGTTATAGTAAAGAGATTTTAGATTAGTATTATTGATGTTCAGGCAGTGGTGGAGAAAGGTCAATATGTTAATGCTCATTGTAAAGCTGCTTTCTGTGGCTCTCTCTCTGTTCCCTCTCTCTGGTCTCGCTCTGGTCTCTTTCCGGTCTCTCTCTCGGGTCTCTTTCCAGTCTCTCTTTCTGGTCTCTCTCTGGTCTCTTTCCGGTCTCTCTCCTGTCTCCCTCTGGCCTTCCTCTCTGGTCTCTCTTTCTGGTCTCTCTCTCTGGTCTTTCTCTCTGGTCTCGCTCTGGTCTCTCTGGTCTTTCTCTCTGGTCTCGCTCTAGTCTCTCTCTCTGGTCTCTCTCTGGTCTCTCTCTCTGGTCTCTCTCTCTGATCTCTCTATAGTCTCCCTCTGGCCTTTCTCTCTGGTCTCTCTCTCTGGTCTCTCTCTCTGGTCTCTCACTCTGGTCTCTCTCGTCTCTCTCCTGTCTCCCTCTGGCATTTCTCTCTGGTCTCTCTCTCTCTGGTCTCTCTCTGGTCTCTCTCTATTCTCTCTCTCTTGCGGGCCGGATTTGGTCCATGGACCAGAGTTTGACATGTCTGAACCAGATAGAGACCAAAGAGAGACCAGAAACAGAACAGAAAGAGACCAGAGACAGACCAGCGAGAGACCAGAGAGAGACCAGAGACGGACCAGAGACAGACCAGAGAGAGACCAGAGACGGACCAGAGACAGACCAGAGAGAGACCAGAGACAGACCAGAGAGAGACCAGAGACAGACCAGAGGGAGACCAGAGACAGACCAGCAAGAGACCAGTTGTACTACAGTATATCTGTGTGTGTTAAAACTAGGGTACCTAATTTTTAAACCACAAAATATGGAACCCTGTCATGTAATAATTTAGTCTTAGGCGCTTAAATTAGGGAGCCATACCTGCAGGTGAAAGCCAGATCCTGTCAGACCTATGACGGCCTGGTTAGTGCTGTGATGGGAGACCTCTGTGAACAGCAGGTGCTACAGTGGGGCGGCTGTAAAGTGCCAAACTGTGATTGTGTCCTCAGGCAAGGCACTTCACCCACATTAGAATGAGTCTGGTGTGTGTGTAAATAGTCGGTGGTGGTGCGAAGGGCAGATGTCAGTGTGCCCCAGGGCAGCTGTGGCTACAGTAGTACTTTATCACCACCTTGTTTGAAGTAAAAGAGTAACGAAATGAGAAGTGTCTTTGAGGGTCCTGAAAAAGCACTACACAAAACCAATACATTATTATTATTATTTTAAACAGTTTTAAACTATTTTTAAATCCCAAAATAGTGAGCGTGACACAAACGGTCTCCAGCTAAAGGAGTTTTAAGTTAGTCAATAGAAGCCAGAGCGAGTTAGAGCAAAACTTTGTCCATGAGCACTTCCCTGTAGGGCTTCATTGAGCTTGCGGATCAGCCTCTGTCCATCAGTATACACTCTAGGATTTCAGAACCCTCACCTGTTCTGTCTCTATTCAATCTGGAGTCCTCTGTGTGTGTTTGACTATGTCCCTGTGTGTATCGCGGGTCCTCAAAGCGTCTTCACGGCGGCGTCTTTGGCGTTCGCTGAAAGGGAAAACAGCAGCGGGTTCAGCTCAGTGCAGCTCTTTATATAAGATTAGACGCTTGGGCCACTTCCAGACCCACTACTCACCGCACCATAGCTATTTTCAGCCAGATCCAAACACCTCGCAT